AGCACTATGATTTCAAACTGCAGAGCGTTAAAGCAACGAGCTCCTCTATCCTTACTTTACGAAGGGATTATTACCACAACACAGCGTCTGCAGCTGCCAGCACACGTCTTTAGGCGTGTGAGCGCAAACTCGTGAAAGCGGAAGTCCGTTCGGTCCATTTTAGCACCAACACAAATGTCTGCTCAACACGCCGACTTTGTGCGCGACAGCGTAAGAGCGGTGCGAAAGAAACCGTGAAAAGCTGCATCAACAGGTGCACGAGACAGTGGAGCGTTTCTGTATTATGCCTCAAATTTCTTATTGCCTACCTATTAATTCTGCCACCGCGCTGAAAGGCCAGGTATGACTTGTGGAGTTGCTGTTCAGGAAGGAAGGACTCATCTGGAAATGAAAAAAATAAGTTAAACTTTCACTTGCTCTTTTTTGTGAACGTTTTCTAAAGTGTCGAAACAAATACGAATCCTCTACAGCAAATATCTGAAATACTTACAGAACTCAGGCGAATCCCATGCTCACTTAACCTCGCCATGTTTTGCGTCTGAATATTTTGCTTCTCGTCGTGTGAGCTCTCCGTGCGCAGGTACGCAGCCACACAGAGCAGTGGGCGCGTCCTCGGGGCCTCTGTCAAAGGAAGTCAGCCGAAGTCGCGCTTCGAGCAGTCTGAAAGAGACACAGCTGAGGTATTTCTTTCTGCAGATCTTATGTTAACATGACGTTTTACCAAGTTCTTGCATTTATTACCAAGTTGATTTATTGTTACTTTGTTATAACGCGTGTTTGAAATGGGCTGTTTTTTTTTCATTCAAAAATTATAATAATTCAGTTGCAGAATCAGCTAAATGCTTACAGTAAATGGCCGCTGTATTAGGCACACCTCCTTAACTACTCATTAAAACAGATCTGACATGCTGAAGGTTCAAATCGGGCATCAAAATAGGGAAGAGACGTGATATAAGTGACTTTGAATGGGGCTTGGTGCCATATGGGCTGGTCTGAATATCTGAGGTTGTACTGAGAATTTCCCATACAGCTTTCTCTTTACTGAATGTTTACTGAATGGTCTGAAAAGGGGGGGGGGGAATCTTGTGTTCAGCAATTCTCTGCTGCTCACAGCGGTTCAAGTGTCTCGTTGATGCCAGAGGAGAGTGGCCGTGCTGACAGGAAGGCACAATGCAGACAATCCAAATAATCACTTGTTACAACAAAGGTATGAAGAAGAGCACATGGAACCTTAAAGGAGATCGACTGCAGCAGCAGAAGACCACACCGGGTGCCACTCCTGTCAGCTAAGTGCAGCGTCGTGGTTAGCTGATACTAACAGGAAACTGAAGCTGCAGTTCACACCTGCTCACCAGAATTGGACAACGGAAGATTGGAAAAACATTGACCTGTCTGGTGAGTCTCGATTTGTGCTGCAACGTTCAGTAGTTATTTGGTGTAAGCTATGTGAAAGCATGAATCTGTGCTGTATCCTGTCAATGTTTCAGATTGGTGGAGGTGGTGTAATGGTGTGAGGGATATTTTTTGGCACACTCTGGCCTCCTAGTACTAGTTTAGCATTGTTCAAAACACCACAGCCTACCTGAGAATTGGTGCTGACTATGTCCATCCCTTTATGACCACAGCGTATCCATCTTCTGATGGCTGCTTCCAACAGGATAACGCGCCATGTTACAAAGCTCAAATCATCTCAAACTGGTTTCTTGAACACAGGTTTGTCGTTACCCATGGGTGTTCAGGGCTCAACTTCCAGATGTTTTTTTAGTACCCTCCGATCTCCCGGCTGAATGAAATGTTTATTAGAGGAAACCTGTATTTAGGTATGTGTTTGCCACAGTTTATCTGGGGCGAAGCCCCACTCCCATCTCTGTCCGACCAATCACAGCAGAGCATTCCTCCCTTAGGTCCAACGTCAGCACCTGTTAGCTGTCACTGCTGATTGGTCTGGATCTGACAAACTGGTGGTTGCTAACCAGCTAAAGTACTTCATCAGAAGAAGCTTTTTTTTTTTAGAAAAAAAAGACAAAGTGAGGGGGAGACGCAGGTGGAAGGAGCTGCCTCCTGTTGCTACTGTAGCAGACACAGGGCATGAAATGGTCACTGCATTAGATACAAACTCAGGGGGGTGAATTGGTGAAGTGCTTCTGACACGTTCATTGATACAAGTCAAGGTTGCCATTTGTTTCTCACACACTGAGTCAACGATTCACATATATGCCTCACACTTTGTCTGACCTTCATTTTCTCACATAGGTCTAATCTGAAAAAAAAATCAATAAATAAAATAATTTATCATAATAAAGTTATTTAGACCATCAAGAGAAACCTGAGAAAAATACAAATAAATCTATTGATTCTTAAAATCATTCATGCTGCTCAAAGTAATGCCAGGCCTAAACAGCAGCACTTTCTCCTCTCAACCTGCACACGCAGTTGACAATGAGTAACCATGACTACAGTGAGTAACCCTGGTGACAGGGAGATGCTCTGTACTTCACTCTGAAGCACTCATTCCCATTCCCAATAAAAGAGCTCAGGTTATTATGGCCATTTAAAATTCCAAGATATGCATGTCTTTGTATGTGCATGGATATGCATGTCTTTGTATACGAAGTCTGCCATAAACAAGATGACTTAGGTCTGTGTAGAATGTTAAGTCCCACATTCACTGTGGATTCATACATGAAATAAAGGAAACGCAGAAAAATAGAGAGCGATGACAAAAATAGCATGAATGAGACGTGATTGTTAAAACACTGTGTGCCTGTAAACACAGACGTCATTAGGTGGAGAGGGCACATAATGCCATAGAAATAAACATCCTGCAGAACACTGATTGAAGCACGTTGTGTCTGCCCGCATTAACCCCTTAAGGCCTAGAGTATCATATTTGATACATGGGTTTTGTCAGTTTTGGAGACTTCTGCATCATCGGTGTGATTTTTTCCCCTAGTTAAATTACACAGTACATTTTTAACAAATAAAAAAAAACCTCACCATGTTTTGGTGAGGTTTTTTTCCCCACAATCCTGATAATGATAAGCAGAAGATAATGGATGTATGGATATAGAAAATACAATAAAAATTAAAAACTCATATATGCAAATGAATATTTAATTAAAAACAAAAAACAAAACATGATTTGGGCTATAAATCATAATTCATAAATATTGTAACTGTAGCTTTTGATGACAAGAAAATTTGCATATTCTGCATGTTGATATTTGCTGAATGATAAATACAGCGTTTGAGTCCACATATAAACCAAGTCTATACATAACGAGTTAATAACCTAATCGTCAGATCCAAAGTTTGCGATTCAAATAAAATTTGGGTGGCACCTGCTGACTGCTTTCTTTTTAGATCCGGGACATGAACGTGAGGGGGAGAGAGCAGGGGGGTTAAAAGTGGAGCAGGTTCATTAGACAACAAAAGAGCACAAAGGTGAAAAGAAAAGAAAAGGACAGATGAAACGAGCATTCTAACTAAATAGTGACACAATATGGTCTCACAAATAACTACTTTACTTTTACATTTTTTAAAGGTTTTATACAGCTGCTTAAAGTTAAAAAAAAATGGTAAGGAACTCAAATTGCACTGGTTATTTATTTGTGTCATCCTGTGACATGTTAGTCTTTGGCATATATTAATATTTCTTTGAATTTAGTAAATAGCTTTAAGAGTGGCACTGCTACTGAGTGAAAATTCAAAAGCCTTTGAGGCCGGCCTAAACTCCCAGTCTAGCAATGCTCTTGAACATAACAGTGAGTTCACTGAACTCAAATGGCCTCTGCAGTCACCAGATTTCAATTCAATGGAGCACCTTTGGAACCTCTGTGGTGAAATGAGAAATTTGCATCCTGGATGTGCCACCGACAGAGCTGCAGCAACTGTGGGATTCTATCAGGCCAATACAGAGTGAAATCTGAGAGCAATGTTTCCACCAGCATGTCGAATCTGTGCCCTGTTGAATTAAGGCAGTGTTGAAGGTAAGAATGGATCTAAAACGATACTAACAAGGGCTACGCAGCAAAGTATATTTTTTTATTCAAATTAAAAAGATTCATTGCTTTACTGTAGAAATATCTTTTTGCCAACAGCCATAATTGTAGAATCAATATTATATTTTATTAAATATATGTGTTGTAGGATAGGCTTAATCACTGATGACATATTTCCTTTCGTTCCCAGGCCATAAAATACTATGTTTACTGTTTATTACACACATTACCTTGGGTGTAACGCAGTGATGCGTGTGTCATGGCAATAGTGACAGGGGTTTCACTCCTAACTTGTATTTCAAATCAAACCACAACCTTTCTGTAAACCTAACCGAAATGAAAATTAAACTGTGAGTGAAAGAGGACACAAACCACAGCTTCTGGTCATGATTGATTGGTTTGTATTAGAAACAGAGGCTTCAGCTTTATTATAGCCAAACACGTTTTATAACCGTCAGTTGCAAATGTACAGTGATTTACAAACCAGCTATTGACCAAACAGTAAGCAGCAATAATAATGACTGTTGTAATACACTGTTAACTAAAGTTAGCGATTCATTTTTATTAACAGTGGCATTATAAAGTGTTACGAAGTCTTTTTGCATTTAGGAAAATCTGCCGCGTTAACACACAAACTTAAAAATGGATCAGAATCATTATTGCAAATCTGCACAGTGGATGAACGTGGCATACAAGAATATGAGTAAGAGTAATTATCTTTTATTTATTGGCATTTTTCTTTAGAATGCATGAGATTGATTTATCCCAGCTTTTATTAAGAAATGATAAACTATGTATTTAATTAAACATTTGGGATTTAGGAGGTGTTGCAATGCTTTACCAACCGTGGCTCTTATTGTAGTGGTTTACACATTTGCCTACCAAACAAAAGATCTCTAGTTATTTTTCCTGGAAGGAGATGGAAGTTTCTTTGTGGTTGCATGAGGAAGGGCATGTGGCATAAAACTCTGCCAAATCAAACATGTGGAGCTACCCACTGGGGCAATCCCTTGAGAATAAGAGAGCAGCTGAATGTAGCTAAAGCAGGGGTTCTTAACCTTGTTGGAGGTACCGAACCCCACCAGTTTCATATGCACATTCACTGAACCCCTCTTTACTGAAAAATAAAATGTGATTTTTTTCAAATTCAAGACATAGATATGTTTTTTACTGGTGCACAAAATGAGCCGTGCATGTCACAGCGGAGGCTCTGCCGAACCCCTGAGACCAACTCACCGAACCCAGGTTAAGAACCTCTGAGCTAAAGAAACTTCTTCTTCTTCTGTAATGTTTTACTAACTCTTTTTGACGGCAAACCCCTCCCCCAACCATCCTATTGATGGTTTTAAACTGTAAACTGATAAGACATGGGATGACATAAGAATGCAGACAGCTCAGAAAACATGAGCTGACTGCTTCAACCAGTTGAACTGGTTCCTGTTGAATTAGTTTTTCTCAGGGTTATCTGCTCAGTATTAGCTACTCAAGCTTGTTGCAATACACTGTCTGTTAACTAATTTGTGCACCTGTTAATTTAACTAGAAATAATTAATTGCATCTTCCTTCAAAAATCAATCTGCTGTCAATTGATTTTGCCTCTGCGGTTGAGAACAGTTCAAGAACTCATTTCAACTTGTTTACATTTAAGTAATTGGATACCAACAACCTGCTTAATCAGAATAAACCCTGATTACTCTGTGCAGTTGTCTGGACCTTCTTTTACACTCCGTTGTTGTTATACTCCCAAAAATATTTGCTCACTAGAAATGCAAGATGGCAAAGTGTAGATCACTTAGTTAAAGGTATATTGGCACAAAATAATGAAAGAGTTGTCAGTGATTTTCTTTAAAGACAACAGGATACCCAGAAAAAGAATAATGTAGCAGAAACATTGTTTCTTTTTTCTTTTATTATCTCTAACACGGCGAGCTTCAACAGCTCAGTCTCTTGTCGCATGAAAAAGTCCCCATCTTTGGTCTCCACTGTTGGAACGTCCCAGTTTTTCTTTCCATCCATTCACTATTGCAAAATAATCCTCTTCAGAAAATTCCTGCAGGGAAAAGATACAGGTGTGTTGGATGGCACACTAAAGGAGCAATTTAGCTTTCTGTCGTAACACAATTATGAAGGTGCAATCTTAGACACACTGTGTGAACTTTGTGGTTGTGCATTCCCACCTTAACGAATTCATCTTTAATGGCCTCTGCTCTCTGCAGCTCTGTCTTAATCACTTCGATGAACTGGGCTGTGCGGTCTTCGGCTCGAACTTTGCTGAAACCAGCCTCCTGAATGAACTGTAGATGGGGAGGCAGAGGAGGGATTAAGCAGTGTGGGGACAGCACCATCAACTGATGGACTGCAGTAGTACATACATACAAAGTCTGTATTCTCTGGACATAATGGTAAATGGCCTGCATTTGTATAGCGCTTTACTCAGTCCCTAAGGACCCCAAAGCACTTTACACTACATTCAGTCATCCACCCATTCACACACACATTCACACACTGGTAATGGGAAGCTACATTGTAGCCACAGCTGCCCTGGGGCGCACTGACAGAGGCGAGGCTGCCGGACACTGGCGCCACCGGGCCCTCTGACCACCACCAACCATAATGTTGGAAAATTTGGCTGCTTCTATATTCTTCTAAACACATCTCTGGGATTTATGTATTTATGAAGCAATAATGCACAGATTCCAGCATACAGTATATGTGAAAAACTATTATAAGCAGATTTAGCAGCTTTCTCCATTTATTTTGACTAAGGTAAAACAATTTGAGTTTGTAGTTTTACTCATAAGTGGATCAGTGCACTGCTTATACTGTTAAACAGGATTTTGAATTGCAAAAACAGAAATACAAATAAATCTACATATCAGAAAAGAGTCCAAAGTTTTAAACTACTAGCATTTTTATACACGAGTATTTTTACCTTGCCATACTCTGAAGGGGTATACAGGACATAGCCTCTTTGTTTCACATAGGCCTCGAATGCTGGGGTCCAGGGCTTCTTCCCACAGCAATAGTCACTGATAAGCAACTGTCCGCCTGGCTTTAACCATGACTGGATATCAACAAGAACAAGATGTTTCTTACATTTAGTGCTGTATCATTTTTTCTCTACAAATTACAAGAAAAGTTGGGAAATTTATGAATTGAAACCATTTAGACTTAAAGAGATGCACACATGGAAGCGTTTGAAGAGGGCTAGTTTATCATCTATGTGCAGGATTGTGTCTCTGCTGTAGATCACATCAAAGGAATCTTCTGGAAATGTCCTTTTTGTAGCATCGGCAACCTCAAACCGCACCTGAGGAACAGTAAATACCATTAAAGATTTGGAAATAAATCATTAGTCCAGCCATTAACTTTGGTGTTGTAATCAACAGAATAACATACGTACTGATGGAACGTTCTCGACTTTTGCCCTCTCTATTGCAATGTCCACCATGTTGTCTGACAGATCCAAGCCGAGCACTTCCACTCCAAATGCCTGAAAAAAAATTACATAATAATTGCCACAGTTATAGCTTTTACAATAATGATAAGTGCCCTAAAATCAACATTGTAAGTGTGGCCTGAGACTTTGTTGCTCTTACCTTTGCCATGTAGAAGTCTCCTCCACCAATGCCACAACCAACATCCAGAACCTTCTGTCCTGGCTTCAGGTTCAGCAGGTCCACAAACTCCTGTTAGCACAAAAATGTTTTCTTTGATTCAGCCTGGCAACTTTGTAAAGGTTATTTTGGCTACAAACTTTTATTTCCTAGTTACTGAGGCCACTACGGTGTACATATTACGACAGGGGTGTCCAACTCCAGGCCTCAAGGGCCGGTGTCCTGCAGGTTTTAGATATCACCTTGGGTCAACACACCTGAATCAAATGATTAGTTCATTACAAGGCCTCTGAAGAACTTCAAGACATGTTGAGAAGGTATTTTAGCCATTTAAATCAGCTGTGTTGGATCAAGGACACATCTAAAACCTTGGAAACCCCTGTTTTAGGACATCCGCAGGTCTCAGGAAAAACATCCTCAGACATAAGCTCAAAACAGCCTCTGGCATCAGACTAAAATGTCTAAAAAAAATGGCATCAGATGACATAGACCTTCGTGGCCCACCCTATCCCAGAATTCATTATGATTTTAAGGTTGAAGAAACTTTTTGGAAAAAATGGTGACCGGTTTAAGCAAAGCAGTCCAGAAATAAACTTTTAATAGTAAGTGCTGAGTTTTATCAAATGTTCAGCAGAGAAGAATCCTAAAAAGCCAAACTGAGCTAACTTTTGGCCAACTTAATGCGGCACAGGTCCTGCGTGCTTTGGTTGGTTGGTTAGTTGGCTAGTTAGTTTTCTGCTGAAGGTGCGTCTGTTTGCCAGTGTGAAGCCAAATGTACTTAAATGTTTTGGGAAAAAACGAGCAGACGGTTGACTTTTTAAGGTGTTTTTAAGTGTGTTCTCCAGGACCAAACATGTGACCCGTGAACTGTGGTAAGGAAACAGACTGATGTAACCAGGATGTGCTGAAGTCATATTTACATAAGCTCTCATCCTGTATAGAGCAAATAATAATAATAAGACAGAGAGTTAATAGAGAAGTCCTTCTCTTGTTTTTATGCTGTTTTTGGCATGCTTATATCATACAATCTGAGCCTGTCACCTTTGTCATGTCTCTCTGATTGCAATATATAAGATATATTAATGTGATTCTATGAGAAAATTGTGCTTTCATCTGAAAGTTAACAGATATTTGATTAAATTTTCTGCTTTTGTTGTCAACTGCCGTGAGAGGTGACTGTACAGAGGCTTTCCACCCCTGATGAAATGAAGGGAACCTCATCCAACTTTGATAATGGTTTGATTTATCCAGAATATATTTAGTTAAAATATTGTTCTCGTCAAAGTATGATTGTGTTGGTTTCAGTGGGAAAAGTATGCAGATCTTTGAAATAAAGACTTCAAAGAGCTACAGAAATTGTACGTTCATAAACTTAAAGTGTGTTTTATAGTATTCTATATAAGAAGTCATGTGTCTGTATCATCTTTCTCCTGTTAGATGCTCCCTTTTATTTATAATAAAATATCAATAACTTAAGACGTATTTGTACCTTCAAAATAAAATGAAACTAGTCTTGTGAGCTACACTAGCAAACTACTTTACTAACTAAAGTTAAGATAACTGTTAGCTAAAGGGACTCGGCCCATGGCTGTGGTGTTCTCAGCTCATACGCAGATGAAACATCACAATTTTCTGCAATAAAAGTAAAATAAATTACATAAAATAAAGATTAATTCACCACGGCTCTAGCTGATATCGTTGCGGTTGCTAGACAACAGGAGAAGTGCATCTTAGGCGAGATCTTTCAATTTAACAGCCGCTCGCTTCCAGTCTTTGCAGCCTTTGAAGGCGTAGACTGGGTAGGCCAGGTCCTTTGAAGGATTAATTCTTTTTTCTTTTCTTTTTTTTACATTAACTTTCAGTGACATCAGATCAAATCAAAATGTATTTCTATAGCACATAATAACACAACAAAGTTGACCAAAGTGCTTCACAGTTGGTCAGAGCAATAGCATAAGACAGAAACAGTTAAAACAAAAACTAGCCACGAAATAACATATAAGTTTGAAGCAAAAGCCAGACTAAAATAATAAGTTTTAAGACGCAATTTAAAAGACTGGATGGACTCGGAGGAATGAATATAAAGAGGGAGGTTATTCCAGAGTCTGGGCGCTAAGACAGCAAAGGCCCGATCACCTCTGGACTTCAGACGAGACCTCGGTTGCGTCAGGAGCGTTTGATTGGAAGATCTAAGTGCCCTATTAGGGATATACAATTGAAGGAGTTTGCATAGATAGCTGGGAGGCAAATTATTTAAAATTTTAAAGGTAAGCAAAAGAATTTTGAAATTGATACGATAATCAACAGGGAGCCACTGTAGGTTGGCTAAAACTGGTGTGATGTGGGCATAATTTCTAGTACAGTACCAGTTAAGAGACGCGCAGCTGCGTTTGACATTTAAAAAATAATTCAAAGAAAAAAAATATTACACCTGAACACAACTTGAAGAGCTACCACAAAGGGTCTGAATGAAACTGCCATTTAATGCAAATTCTGCACCAGACGCTCAGAAGTCTGAATACTTACTGAAGCATGCAGTTTTCTGTGTTATTTTCTGTAATCATGTTTATAACTCAAAATCATATCTTTGCATTTTACTTGTTAAATTTCCTTCCAAGAAGCACTTATCATTTGCAACCAGCCATGTTATTTGGGATTTGCCTACCTTGGTGGTGCTAGGCCCTCCTGTGCTGACGTAACCAGCCCCAAACATCTTCTCATAGCGCAGGATGCCACGTTTGGTGTACTGCTGGTTGTCCAGGAATTGCTGGAAGGTTTTGAATCCATTCTGGCTGTTCGAGGAGCGAGTGACCTTCTCTAGCAACCAGCAGATTTGATTTGGATTGTTTTTCATCTGTAAGTGTTGGATGGATGAGAAGGTGACAGAGATAAGTAGTAGTAAAATGGGTTAACTACATGTCCACACACCAGCATCAGAAACTGCCATGTGCTTTTTTCAATCTTAATATGACTCAAATGTCTCTACCTCAACGTAGGTCTGAACTCTCCTTTTCAACACAATGTCAAAACCAAACGTTTGGCCCTCCTTTGGCTCCGTCACTTGCACTGTTGTAGTCATGTGGCTATAATGTTCCTCAGTACGGTAGCAGGTGGGGTTGAAATCCCTCTTACTGTCACCTTGGTAGAAAATTATGAATGAAAACAAACTAATCTCCATGGAGCATAGAAAGTAGTTAAAAGAAGGAGAACAGACATCTAATTAAATCTTTTTGAAATATACAGGCAGAGGACTTCATGCAATCTTTCTTAAATTACCTTCATTTACCATAAAGGTTTAAACATTGAATTTAATTCTGCATCTGTACCTGACCGGTGGTTGCAGGACTCTCTGAAAAACAGAAAGCCTCCAGGCTTCAGCCAGGTAAGCATTTTTTGCATAACCGAATTCAGCTCCTCGTCACTCAAATACATCAGTAGCCAGTTGGAGAAGATAAAGTCAATGCTGAGGAAAAAAAAGCATCATTCTTTTAACAAAGTAACCAACAGTATTTTCAGTATATAACAAATAAAGCTGTGTGTGTCGTCTCTCTGCCTTTCAAGACTGGCTCCTTTCAGAGTTACTATTTCCACTTGTACACCTATGATGTGTGCTGGAAACAGTGACCTTTTAACTTATGTTTCATTTTGGGGAAGTGGACAAAGTTGTGGTGAATGTGTATTGTGGCCATAGTACTTCTGCCTTTTCTATGCACTGGGATTCATGATAGCATACGCAACAGTTAAGGCAGTTTCTACTAAATGCTCCTCCTAAGATGCCTTTGGCTTGGAAACTGCAGACTCTCCCCCTCTAAACTATTTGATCTGTGGGTCATAGCTGACAAAAGGGGTGATTCTTCGCTCTCTGCATGTTTAAGGTCCCATAGGGACACTGCAGATGTGCACGTGCAAGCCCTCAAAGAGAAAGCTAGAAGCAGGATGTAGGAAGATAGATTTCATGGAAAAAAATGTGTCATTTCATTTCACTTAAAAGGGCAAATGTCAGCTTTATCGTTTTCCAAGGTAAGCCTCTGCTGAAGCCACTTCTGCGTATGTTAAATATACTCATTTTATGACAGTTTATCCAGCTGTTCTTGAGATAATTCAGAATCAGGCCAGTAGACCACCTGACCATAGTGCCATTCATCGAACCACGCCATTAGTGAGGTTAAATATTAACGACGATATCTTAACACACACCTGTTTTGGGGAACATCCAGCTTTGTGACATCAGCTTGGAGGAAGGTACCATTGCTATGGTGGCCATTTTTCTGCCTGTTCTTCTCTATAAAACTTTCCATGAAGTCCACAGCAGTCACATGGGCTGCCTTGGTCAGCAGGTGCTTGGTGTAACGACTGGATGCAAACATAAGAATATAAAATGATCTGTAAGTTCAGTTTCTCCATCATTAATATGCCATTTTAAACATTTATTAAATATTACAGTACTTCATTAGCTTATACTTCTTCTACTAAATCCCTGTCTTTTAAAGCACTGACTTTCTTGTCTTCTTGTACTGTTTTCCCAGAATTCTAAGTCTATTGCAGCTGTGTGCTCACCCAATTCCTGCTCCCAGCTCCAGCACTTTGCATCCCTCCAGGCGAGGCAGCATGGAGAGGATCTCTGGCAGCTCATGCTGAGTCAGTTCTTTGGCACGAGAATCCAGCATCATCTCCTCCACTGTAGCAGCCTTAGAGTGCTCCTTCCAAAACTCTGTCATATTGCTACGAACTATCATAAGAGAACACACAGGGTTGGCAAGAAGCTAGATATGCATGTAAGTGGGCGTGTGCGTGTGGACACTAATAATGATGGCAATGCAGTTAAAATTTATGAATGTGCAATTAAGATTTAATTCCCATGGGATGATGTATCAAAGTTCAAGGGTACCTGTCTGTGAATCATCTATCAAGTATATGACAAAAAAGAAGTGATCATCAGGTTAATCGTGTTACTTCGAAGTTATTTAAGATGTAAATTATTTATTTATTTATTTTTAAAGAGAAAAAAAAACAATCTGAGTTCCTTTAACTCACTCAAATGTGAGCTTTTGGAAAGTTTGACAAATGTTCATATAAAGGGCTCTACCCCTTAGGCTAAAAATTCTTCTGAGATAAACCCCCACAAACACTCGGCGGCCACACAGATTAACCATTAATCTAACCTGATTAAGCAATCCCAAAACACCCATTTGCCACATAGACAGAAGATTAAACCAGAATCAGTTTCATATTACACTCGCTCGCTGTCACAGTTTGCAAAGTTTGGTTTTGTTTGCTTTTGTTAATAAGACGCGCTGTTATTTCCACAACAGGTTTTAGCTGGCTTTTGTCAAAAGACAGATTATACTACAGTTGTTCCACAACGCCCCTCCACCCACCTGAAACCCCCCATTCATTCTTTAATTTTACAGAGATCCAAGAAAACCATGTACAGTAATGTGCACAAGCATATAAGACAGTAAACATCAGGCTACCGCTTTCACTCACAAATTCCCCCATGTGCTTTACACCAGAGACACACTCATCCACAGGCTAAATGACGACAACGTGGCAAAGTGGAATCTAAGATTCCAGCGACAAGGTGATAACAGGGTGAGAGACAATCTTCATGGTCCTTTTTTGAGGAATAACTGCAGGTTAAAAGAAAATCATTTGACAGCTTTGTTCAAATCACCATCACATTCCAGCACAGAGCTCACAGTAGGATTACTCCCACCAGTTGAGTGAACAATTACAACACAATAACACAGCAGCTCAAACAAAATCCAAACTTTGGCGTAATCAGCTCCCTCTGGCTTAAATCAACTTTTCAAGAAGGTTTCACAGTAGTGAATGAATAAATAAATAAATAAATAAAATGAATACATTTGATCTGCTCATACCTTTGTCCATTGTGGTTTTTGGTTGATTATTGTAAAATTAATCTATGAAGTGAGAAATCAGTCTGATGATTAACGATCCTCGTTATTGTAGGAAGGTATAATTAGTAATCTCCTATATAACAGAAAGAAGATGTCACTTCGCGTGTGGGCTCTTTAAATAACGGGACGAGCGTGGCGCGTGGAGGAGGTGGTCGCCAGGTAGGAAACTGGCCATTAGGATGCGCCCAATACGAGGGCATGGGAGGGGAGCACACACACACACACGAATCACCATGTGGGAACAAGGGTCTGCGGAGAACATAGAACAGATTTGCATTGACACGGGGCATAACGTGCACAACACACCACAGACGTCCAGAAAAATCCCTGGGAGACATGTCGGCCACAGATAGTAAGTTGACAGAATGCACTCACATCTTTTTGCACGATCGTTGCCTCGTGTATTTCCCCGCGGCAGTCTGCCTCACCGGCTCCCGGCTCATCGCGTCTCGGTTGTGCTGACACGTGGAAAATGTCTGGCGGCACGCGCAACATTGTGCAAGATTGCCTCATACTGTTAAGGTGGAAAGCGTGAGGTTATGAAACGCGCCAGGAGTGTAAGTAGCCCACAGTTTTCACAAGGCTTTATGAAAACTGTAATTAACAGTTAATTGCTAATATCTCATTTTCGCCCTCTTTATAAAGAAAGCATTAGCAGCCAGTGGGGTCCCAGGCTGTGAGCTATGAGAAGTTAGTGAATAACATATATTACTTAAGTATGCAATTAAAAATGTATGAGAAATTAGTAGAATTAATAAGTAAAATAAAACAATTAATTTGTCATTAATAATAATAAGTTAATAAACCATTAAACGATGATAAACAATTCAAAAAGCCTGCAGAGAGTGTGTAACTGAACATTAAGTAAGTCGTTTTAAACCAGACTGAATCGTACAAAGAGATCAGACTCTTTTATTTTGTATTACTTTACTAAACGCCATAGACCAAAATCTCTGAGGAATGTTTTCAGCTCCTTTCTGAATCTTTGCCACAAATAATTAAGGCAGTTCTGAAGCCAAAACGGCATCCAGCAAAGTACTAGAAAGTACCAGTACTGCACCTGATGTAATCTAGTGCAGCTCTTTCAAATGTTCCTAGAATCAGATCCGAGTATGCCGAAGCTGCTTTCAGGTACTGTGGCTCTGTACTTTGGAACAAACTATGTTTACATCTGTGTGTACGTTCAAACAGGCACACAGGCCATTACACTTAATAGCTGTGCATGTTTTTATTGCTTTATTTTGTTTTCACTGCCTTAAGGCATTGTAAACGTGCAGTGATTTTTTATGCTTTTACTTTCTGTTTTAAGCACATTTAATTTACATATAATGAAATGTCCTATATAAGTAAAACTGGTATTGCCATTCTACCTTATAAAATGTCCAGTGTGTGTATTTATTGACTGTTAAAATCATAATCACTTCTGGGTAATCTTGCCTTTTGCTAACATAAATGACCGAATCCTCCTGCATCTTCATAGCTTAAGGCATAGGTGTCAAACTCTGGCCCGCGGGCCAACCAAATTATTATTAGAGCTGGCCTACTGGTATTATACAGCTAATATATGTATTGTTTAGTATTAAGCTTTGCTTGTTCCATATTCAGTTTTTCAGCAAAACTTGTTTGAGTCCATAAGAAGAGATTCATTCTTATATCTGGAGGAAGATTTTTTTTTCAGTAAATATTAATGTTAGCCCGCAACCTTGTTCCAGTCTTGAATTTTGGCCCACTGTGTATTTGAGTTTGACACCCCTGGCTTAAGGCATTAAGGCAAGGGAAAGTTGCTTGGCAATGTCTTAGTCAATCTTCAACAGTATATTAAGCTTATTATGTTTTAACTAGTAGCTACATCTGTCAGATCTAATAATACAAAGTAATTTCATCCTTAAAATACTATAACTGAGGATAAGTGAGTAGCATTAAATAGAGCTACAGAAGTTAAAGACAAGTTCCTCGAAATTGTATTTAGAGGTGCTCTACGTGCAATTTAAAATCAGCGGATGAACGTTTATGGCAATAGGAAACAAAAGAGATCAAGCCACAACCATCAGCACACACGAGACTGTGAAATACACCAAATGGCTTCTATGCTACTGTAAACCAATTAGTGCTCCTTTCTTGCTGCTCTTCTTTGTTTTCTGTGACAGCGTTTGCCTTCTGCTCCTCTCAAGCAGTGAAGGAACAGCAGATTCTCACAAGGAGTGCACCTACGTTACAACATGATTAAACACTCTAAAAAACACATTGTCTTTTGAACTGTGTACAAGCTGCACTTTGCTTTCTCACCTTTACTTTCACTTTCACTCTGCTCTATTTATAAAAACAAGAAGGTTTACTCAAACCAGCAAAGCACAGAGCAGAGAATCATGGATTAGGCTACAACCTGCATACAGCAAACGTGACTTTGCTCTCTGTTACCTAAAGGATACAATTAAATAACATTTGCAAATGAATTTAATCTGACATTTAGGTGCTCTAAGGCGCTCGAAGAAAGTTTCCATCCTTTAATGTCTTCTGTTTTGCTGCTGAGATGTAACAGAGCCTCAGCTGTGACATTTCCACATAGATCATGCTGTTTCGGGTGGAGCTTCAGTCTACTATCAGTCATCTTTACATTGGTGAGTGTTCTCAGGTCGTGCACTTTGTGTGAACTACAGTATGCGAGATGCTGGCGTTTATCATACTGACAATATGACACATTCCAGTTGTTAGTCAGTTGTTTGCAGTGTGGGTCGGTGATGTCGTGGAGTCTTTCACCATGTTGCTGTTGGTTGTAAATGTTCAACATTTGTTGTATTTCTCCCGTGGGTTTCTTATATGTCAAGTTGTTTCTTGCCTGGTTGTGAAAACTTTAATTGTGCAGTTTTTTTACTTTAATGTTTTTTTTTTTGTTTTGTTTTGTTTTTTTTTAGCAAGTTTAGCAAACCTGGTCAACTTCAAGAAATACAGACAATTTTAGAAAGACGACAACAGAACAAACAAGTGGACATGAATAATATCTATTTTCACTTCATAAAATGAGCACTGAAAGTTGTCTTAACTTATTCACGTACAGCATGTCTGTACACGACAGTTGACCTATTGATAGATTAGTGAAAATGACAGTTGCGCTGAAACACATGCAGCATGAGTGTGTGTGCTTGTGTGATTTTGTGTGCTGCTTGACTTTTTGCACAGTTCCAACATGACAGCATTCAAAGTTCACTTTAGCCACCCTGAGCTGGATCACATGAGCGGACAGCAAGGCTTTTCTGAGAATTTCAGGTACAGATGGAGGTTGGGAAAGACCCTAACCACAGTCGTTTATATTCAGCGTACTGTAGGCGTTTAAGTTGAAGTTTAATGTACTGTAATTCAGTTAATGGTATAATACAGACCAAAGACAGGTGTCGCCAAGTAATCAATACATAACTTAGCTTTGTGCGCATAAAAAAACTTGAACCGGTGAGTCTATTGTAAAAATATATGAAGTTGAACTGCCATAAATGGATTTTAAATTCAGTTCATGTTAAGCTCAGTTGATTTCTAGAGTGGTTCTGTGTAGCCGTACTCACTGTTCATTTGGCCTTTTCTCTGGTGAGTATTTTCTTAGTTGTAAGTCTCCTTTAGTAAGAGCTTAGTGTGGAGACATGGGATTATAGTCAGACAATGATAATTCAGATTCTGTATAATATGCTGAGACTGATGAGTATTACAAAGAGAAACAGTCTCACAGAAAAGAGAAACAGCAGCTAGCTTACTTACCACCTAAATGTAATGCCTGAAGAAATAATGTGAAAAGTGCAGTTTATTTTTAAAATAGAAGAACAGAGTAATTGAGAGTAAAATTGAAAACAGAAGGCGAATTCATGTTGCAGATTGAATGAGATTAAACAGGAAATGGATGTGAAGACTGAATAAAACAGGTGATGACATCATGTGAGCGTTAAATGATGACGTGACATCTTCTAACGTGGTTGCAGTATTCTAGAGCTGGAGTAGCAGGAAAAGGAGGACAGACTTTATTATGCTGATCGTGTTTAACAAAGACAAATTCAGTACAAAATGAGCAAACTCTACTAATTATAGAAGCGCGGTTCCAAAAGTCCGAATGTCCTGCAGCGAAACGCCTGTAAATGATTGCTGAGAATGAAAATATTGACATGGCTGATATGAAAGACTGATCTCCCGTACTTTCCTGCAACTTTAGAAGCAAATACATTCAGAGCTGTTGTTGTTGATTGCGGTCTAATTTTCACTGCTGGCCTGTGCTGGTTAGTTGTCCAGGTGTGAGGACAAAACAAGTATGAGTTCAACA